TCGATTCATGACCCTCCCCTTGGAGTTTTCCTGGATCCGCCCCTGCTCAGTACGCACAGGTTTCCTTATGTCCTTGTAAGGACGTCAACAATCCTAGGAACCAAATCAGCTTCATCCTATCGGACTGAAGTGGTCCCACGGTGTTGTCGAGGGCCCGGCATTTGTTTTTCAATTAAGTTCAATTAGGTGACCAGCTACGTACTCAAGATATCAAACAATCACGCTGTTTATAGTTCGTATATTAAACCACAACAGGCCAGTCGATAATGGTTGACTGTGTAAATCGAAACTCATCCATTATCCCGGCTGACTCCAAAACACAGTTTGTTTGTAAATGCGATGCAGCAAAAAACGCTGAAATGCAGCGAGCCGGACGATAAACGTGATAGATTTTTAACTTAAAATTATGGACGATGGACGAAATTCAGCCATATATCACGTAACAAGTTATTCATTACAGCCATTATTTAGGTCTTACCAACAGTGGAGGCAGGAGAGCCCAATTTATGGACGACAGATCGTTCCCTTTGGCGTACCTGCCTGCAAGATTGCAGGCATGAGCTATCGCTTTATGCGCCCACTGTCATAATCAATAAACATGCCTATTTGTTTATATCGTAAAATTAGAAGCACATAAAAGGTTGATTAAGCTCATTGATCGAGCTGGACAGTGGAACCCTCTTGAGGCTCTGGACATGCATTCCGGGTCGTTTGCATACGTTAACAGTAGGCACCGTTTGTACAGTTTGGCAGTCAGCCTCCCGATCTTGGAATTGGAAATAACTCTTGGTGAAAAACACTGCTGATTTGCGACTTCGGAAAACCAATGAAACATTGATGACTTGAAACAACATTGTTTAATCGGAGGAGTCGAACATGCTAAACCGAAAATTAACTAGCCACAATCAATAACCAGCACCGCGCTTCCTAAGGTGACTACTGTGGAAACAAAACTGGCCCCTGAACCACACTGATTGTATGTAGGGAGCACAACGCTGGCCACCTTCACGAGCCCTCTCCGTCCAGCGTGGCAACAACTTCCAGCAGACGGCAGCGGCAGTCACGTCCGAACACAGCCGTAAAGTTTGGCCGGACAGCGATGGCCACCAAACAGCCGCGTAAACACACCGGAGGAAGATATGTTGGCAGTGAGCCGACTGCGTGCCGCCCGTGAGAAACAGGCCCAACGTGGAGGGACCGGAGCCCCTGCTAAATCTCGGCTTCAGCAGCTCCTGATCTTACCGTCCGTTCGTGTGGTGGTGGGCGAATGAAATATATTTCATAATTTTGTCACACGGAGACAAGAGCTCTACTGCAGACCAATCTGCACGTATCACCCGCCTTCACCGGAAAACGCAGATCAGACTTCTCAGGTTACCAACATGTAGGTTACCTAAGGTTACCTAATGTAATGTTTACCCACATTATCGCATGTAATGGCTTGGTACCGGTCATTATGCTAATCGTATTGCACCCTCCCACACAGGTCGCAGCCCCATTCCCCTCCCCGCTCTGCCTCTCACACCTTCCACTCTCTCTCTCTCTTTATTCCCTGCTCTAGCATCCGTTACTCGTTTAGTGCGGTGTGCCCGGTGAGGAACAAAGCCCACACTCCTTGCGCCGCATAAGTGGTGCCGTCATTCAAGTGCACCATCACTCGCGAGACTGGGACGCACGGGAGACACCCAAGGGCGAAGTTGACGACCAGGGGAGCACACCGCGTCCAAGTGACGCGCCTGGGTCCGTGACACAACGAACTGATCAACTGGGTTCTCATAGCTGACGGGTGACTCTGCCAGCGCTATATTTCGCCGGTTCAGTGGGGAGGAAACGGAAGACCTTTCACGACGGAGCTTTTTCAGTTGAAAGACGAGCGTTTCCGGTTGATTTATCACGGGACGGTGACGGGAAGGGTGAGGTATGGTCTCATCCTCAGCTGGTCTCGACCCGTCTGAGACGCCGCTACAGACTAGACTCACGAAATGTTGTTCATGTTTGGTTGTCTGTTCACCACACCGTCTCAGCCGACAGGTGTCTGTTTATCTCCTCCGGAATGCCAATTACTATCCGGAGTCGTTCTCCAACAGCTGTTTTCCTCGGCTCTGGCGCCCGGTTTTCCTTCCGTTCCCAGTCTTTTCTCCTCTCTCTCTCTCTCTCTCCGCCTGTGCTGGCAGCTGTCGCCCGCATCTGTTAGCATTCGTCTTCCTCCGTCCGCCGGTGTCTGCCGCTCACAGCCGCTAATCCTGGTGACCGGGGAGTGAGGAGAGACAGCGGAGAGAAGTGAGCAGCAGCAGCAGCATCTCCGGCGCCCACGGGCCGACCTGGCCGGCCGGTCGATCGCTCGGCCTGATTGCCAATAAAGCGTCGCACGCCGCGCGCCGGCCGCCGGCTGGCCGCCGCCCATTTAGGTCACACTCGGGCCTAAAACACCGGGGCGCGGCCAGACCGCCAGACCGCCAGACCGCCGGCGCGGCGCGCAGCTCGCAGCCCGACAGGCGCGGCCATCCATCGTCCACGACATGCTACGTGCGGCGCGCCGTTCAGAGCAGAGAGCGGCACGGCACCCACACAGTCCCAGCGCACTTAGCAGGAGTGGTGCGGTGGAACGGAAAACGCCCCAGAGTTTACAGATGGACTTCAGAGATACATCGATGGCTGTTTTGGTAAAATATGAAAAGTGCACACCACAACTAAGCGTAGTTCCTCGAAAGATTGCCAGTTTGACGATGCAGCATTTATAAGATTTGAAATCGAGGATGATCGCTCTAACTTGGACGCTCCCACACTAAATGTCGATTCAGCTCACTTTAACGACTACCGACTCTGAACGCGGCTTTATCCGCGCTTAGCCTCAAAGCGTCTCAGTTCATCCATCTAAAATGACAAATCCAGGGATCAAGAGAGCCCTTCCTGGTCCTCATGTCGAGCCCGACCTCAGGCTGAACGCTACCTTCTCCGCACGTAAATATTGATATCCAGCACGGCAGCAACGACTCGGGACGTCCACACAACCGAAGAATAAAGCCCATGGATGACCTATGTGTCAGTTTCCGATAGTTGGGTTAGAGACTCAACAAAGCCTGAGCGGTGGTCGCTCACCGTGCCAACAGCGCAGAACCAACTGCGTGATTCTGCCACCGGGTGAGGGCCACGCTCCGTCCCGGCCGGGCGCCTCGCAGAGGTAAACTGTTCTCCCGGATCGATACGCTCCGGATGAGGAAGGCTAGGAAGCCTGCAGGTCCTGATTAGCCCCTTTGGGCCCCGGATGCAGCGATGAGCTAACGACTAGCGCCGATTTTCAACACGGGTTCCACCCAATGATCGTAATGATCGTGATCATGTAGGCGGACTCCGTAAATAATACGACAGAAAGCCGTAATTTACCCAGAGGTAAATCCACTCCAAAAGACAAAAAACCTACCGCTTCGTCAATGGTAAAACCAACCCAACTCCATGCCAATCATCGGAAGTCCCCATTGGATCGGTCCGTTTCGACAGAAATCCCCGAAACTACGCCAGGGCTCTCAACGACGCACATCTCCGACGCCACGTTTTCCTCAATATGAGCTCAGCACTGGCGACAATAGACGGCACGATCCCGCCGTGTTTTCCACCTAACCTAACCGTGAATCGATCGGTAGCAACGGCGCAGCACCGCAACTACGTGACTCCTGACCTGTCGGGTCGGTGCTGAGTCTGCATAGCAGCCACCCGACAGCGCCAGAAAGCAACAGAAGGGTGTCGCGCCGCTGCACAAAGCGGAACGAAAGAGTCGGCAGCAGAGAATGAGGCTCGAAATAGCCGCCACTGGATGATAAATGAAGTCGCCACGATGACAAAAGTTAGCAACAGCGACACTCAAAAGACCGGCGCAGACGAGGCGTGGCCCCGGGGGCGGGGGTCACAAGGTCATCGCCGCGGGCTGTGTCCCGGCAACAGTGCAGGGTCAAACGAGCACCGCCGGGGGTCCACGAGGGTCATAGGTTCAGCACGAGCGTCGCCGCTATCGGGTCTTCCAGTCAGGACCGCGTCATTCACAGCGCCATAAACCATGCCACAAGCACCCCACACAAAGCCTGGCGGCTGGCGACACGACGGCAGTCCCCACAGATAGACAGGTCACAGCAGACGCTGCTGAATGCGCTGCAGATAGGCGCCTCAGCGGCCCGCGCCGGGCTTTTGATCAGTCTATTTACAACAATGCGAGTCGCCGTATATTTAACCAGTACAACCCTCAAAGGGCTCACTCGCATTATGTTGCGCAGTTATTGCAAATGTCCCGACAGTCACACAACTAGTTAACTCGAGCCAGTGGTACGCAATCAACATCTGAATCAGAGACAGAACAAACAGGTAACCGAGTCGGTGGCTGATTGGAGGGTGTTGATCACTGCGTCTGAGTCTCTCCGTCGACCCGCTCGGTAACGCGTCACAGGTGGATTCTGTCACGCTGCAGTCAGGATGGCGACAACACACTGCACCCGGTACACGGCGGCGACTCTGGCGAGTCTGGCTCGGAGGTGCGACAGCATGCTGCACCCGGGTTGGGGGACTAGCGAATCGCTCATAAATGCATTGCTCTGCACACAGAAAAAAAGCCAGCTATATCCACCGGAAATGATGAGGTATTTACAAAGCCCTTGGGGCAGACAGCAGCCAGACGACGTTTTGTCAGTCTGGTGAATACAGCTGTGTAGATTCGCGCCCCGCTACACAACACGGAGTCATGCCTACGAGTGAAAACACTGCCCGTATCTGCCGAGTCATCGTGGAAATATTCGAATTCGCCCGATTCCAACTCGCTATGTGAAACACCGGAGTCTTCCCAGAGCGATAAGTTTATGGGTCTGATCTCGACTCGGCGCTCGTCAGCTATAGCAAAGTTTTTTTTTTCTCCATATTTTCGCCATCCACTCGTCCTGTCGAGTCCCGACAACACTTCATCATCCGACGTCAAAGCGCAGCGATATCGCGGCTCAAATCGCGCGGCGACGACTCACTTTTTGACGGGGATGCGGCCGTACTTGTCGACGTCCAGCCAGATGCGCGTGTGGGCCTTCTGGAGCAGGGAGGCGACGCTGGCGTGCAGGGACAACAGGTTGTAGGCCATCTTAAGCAGTTCGTCACACCACAACTGCGGAGAAGGCGAACGCGTTAGACGGAAATGGGATCGACCTGACATCGACCGCCAGGGTCGGCGGGGAAAATCCAGACAATATACTAGGATGGGAGGATGTGGGAGGCGAACAAGAAAACCAAACGCTGAACAAAGCACGTAGTTTGATACGGTGCAACCAAAAACCGCGACATGTTGAGCTTATGGGCTTGTTACCAAAGGAGTAAAGGACACGTTCAAACTTATGGCTAGCTTTCATATTGTTAACTAGATTTATCATTGATCAATATGGAAGATTGTCAATACGGACGGCTCAGAATGTCCCCAAAGCCGACGGGGTCCCCTATCGACCACGCCGCGCTATCCAGCCCGACATCACTTCCTGACCCATATCTGATAAATCCCATGTCAGACGAACCAATCTCATCGGCCAGTTGTCAGCGGTCGGCCGGGCGACGGCATCAGCTCGGCTACCGCGGACCGCAGCTCACAGCAGCCACATCCAGGCCCGTCAGACAGACAGGACAGACAAAACACCCCCGTCCCCCCCCCTCCCGCAGCCCCCGCCGTCACAACACAACACCGGATGGAGGCGCCGCCACGGCAGAGCGGTGTCTCTCTGGGACAGCGCCGTGCTGACACCCCAGGGACAGGTCAGAGGTGGCCGGGTCAACAGGCAACGACCGACCTCGCTCCACGGCTCGAAATGGAACCGGGATGAACATTGTCAGGAAATGGGTGTCATTCGCAAAATGAGATAACACGTTCGCTTTTAAAATCAATGGAAACAGCACTGTCAGCGAACGGCCGAGAATCAATCCATTCGGAAACGGCCACGTCGTCCCACATTGCCCTAGCGTTACATAATGCCGTTGAAAAGCGCCCATCGTGCCGCAGGCTTACGTACAATCAGCCAACAAAGCACAAAAAGGCACCAAATCACCGAACAATGGGGCCCGGGCGTTCGTGTGTCAGGGACACGTACAATATCGTTGTAACAGATCAACACACAACAGCGCCAAACACCTATATCGATATACCTTTTGTAAAAGGGGATCCCTAAAAATCACCATCAAAATCCGGCACTTGAAAACACAACAGTAAAACTCTAACTAATGCCATAGTCAAAACCCAGTGACCACAATATAGCAAACACCGCATTGCAAAAGAGTAGACGGAGAAGCTTAAGTTTAGGATAGCCGAGCTGATTCGTGACGCGCGCGTCTCGTACCTTGGCCGTCTCGGGTTTGAGGCAGCAGAAGTTGACGAAGGTGAGGTTGACAACGTCGGGCCCGTAGCAGACGGTGACCGTCTTGTCCTCCAGGTTGCCCGTGCTGCCCATGGTGACGACTTCCCGCACTTTCTGGTCCTGTGACCACACAGAGGAACGTGAGGAAACGTCAGACGGGCCATAACAGGGTTAGATCAGCCCGTATCATCTAAATCGGTAGTGAAGAGCATATGGCAAGAGAGACTAAAAAAAAAAAAATGATAGCTGGGGTCACATGTGGCTCTGAATTCTAACAGGGTCATATAGCTCAAACGGTAATAAACCGATACGATCTTAATGCCTAGCGATTTATCATGTTTGATGTGCCTTATCTCAAGCACCAGATCGTCTGTAGATCACAGCCATCAGCCAATGATCCTGCCGCTCTCAAGTGGGACAGCACCTGATATCAAAGGGGAATCACACGCGCTCACAGTTCAGAGCCCGGCAGTCGGCACGTGAGCCACTGAAATGGTGAAACCGCTGGCAGCGGTAACGGCAAGGTTCCAGCGGGATTCACTGCGACAGACAGTCTCATGAATTCAGTCTCCGTACAGCGCTACATAAATCAGACCTTGTGACCCAGACCTTACATCCGGGGCAGATGATGTGAACGAATGTCAGTGTCAGGCTCTGTCCCTTGATAGCCCAATTTTGGCCCGATATACCACGTCTGCCGTCGACAATCGATAAAACCCTAAGAGCAGTCTTCTTCTCTCAGGCCGAACTCTCTATCCCTGTCTGTCATTTGAGTCTTCATGTGCGAGACGCCTACCACCTGGCCGCGAGGTCATGTCATTCCAACAACGCCAATCCTACATCACAGGGCGGAAATTACACGGTCATGGTCCAAAATCGGATATGAGCCCGGCTGCGGGCGGCACGGCGCAATAGACGCAATCCCGTCTTATTGCTCTGATTTGTATGTCGGTCAGCGCAACGGGTGATGGAACGATAACACGATGAAATCAGAACCTCGGCGTTATGCCGGCCACGGGTGAATAATAAATAATACCTACAGAATACACATAGGTGTTCTACTATAGCAAGAATTACGTCGGTCCATGACTCCGGGTGGGAGACGTAGCTAGGGGTTACAGCAAGCAGTCGGAGCCAGCCCGTACGGAATGGCGCAGTCAGCGGCGACCACAGCGATACACAAACGTCAGGGTGACTCCCCCGCCTCCGGCCGACCCGCACCGGCCGACCCGCGCGGCCCCCACCGACTGACCTTGGGCGTTTTGGCGAACCGTCCCGTCCGCGTGTCACGGATGGTCATGATGTCGAGCAGCTCCACCTCCTGCGGAAGAGAGACAAAAACAGACGGTCACGACAGTGGAAAACAGCCTCCAACACAGACTGAGCGAGCGAGGGACGCAGAAATACACAGACTGGTCAGTCAGCGGAGAGAAGCTTCAGAAGCTCAGTTACCGAGAGACACAGAACGGAAGTACACCGACAGGTCAGTCGACAGTCACGGCGGCGAAGAAGAAACGCTGAGAAAGGGAGAGACGGTAATACCCATCAACCAGTTACCAGGGGTGGCTATAAAGGTGGCATTAGGAGCCAAACAATATGGACTGGTACTCGGTGGACGGTGGCTTTCTACATTAGGTACGGAGATCGAGAATGTAAAACAAACGAAATACGGTTTCAGATAAGGGTTGCAAAAGCATCTGTTCACCGAGATGCTGACCAATTTTGGTCGGAAGATAACAAAACAAAAGCTGTAAATAAATAACTGCAAGCACTGAGAAAACGCCACGAGAATTTCCAGCTTTGCGTGTCCCGCTCTAACCACAATCAAAACTTCAATAATATCCCGAGCGAACATCATTCACTGCGGGATCTACGAATATGTGGTAATGATATCCGACAGATTCATCCTGCTATCACGACAAAAAGGATGTGATACATTACAATGTGAGTCACGATTGCAGGAATCAAAGTCTATTACAAATTCTAGAAACGCGCCAGACAATATCAAAATAATATAATGCAATAAGTAGGTACAACCCAATGTTGTAATGTTATAATGCAGCACAATGCATCAACCCTACATATCATCACAACACACTATTGCTCATCCCACATCACTAGTGATTAGTCCGAGGACGGTCCGATTGGTCCCCTGTGGTCCTCCAGCGGTCCTCGGTCTGCTTCCGGGGACCCTCCGACAATGACCTCGGTCCCAGGTCAATCAGGCGGGTCGCAGCGGTCCCAGGACGCACCTCCCCCGCGGTCAATTACGCGTCGTCATGAAGCCCGCGCTAACAAGGTCTCCTGGGCTGGCTGACGAACGAGAGACAGTTCACAGTCTTCCCGGCCCGGCCATACGAGATGGAATGGCGTGAATAGCTCATGACCTGACGTACTGAATTAGGCATGTAGGTACTGGGTCAGAGTTCACTCTCAAAAGTCAATGATTGAAGATGCTGATGTGGTTTCCTGACGGATGAATAATGCATCGTCTATTCAAATAAGATTTCCTAGAGTGAAATCAAAGTACTGTAAGACCCAAACGGATGACTTTATTACTCTCCCTGGATATGCCACCTACGTAAACCCGATAGTTGGACGCTTGCTCACGGCTGAGTTACGTGTGAAATGCGCATAATTCATAACCGTAAATGCATTTATCCAAAAAGGCACTGGAATATGACAGGAGAACCACTTTATCGGTCAACATGAAATGGTAATGCGATGCGAATGACCGCCGGTTATGTAGATATCCGCTGCATTTGGAGAGCTGTGTCTCAGATGGCACTGACAGGGGCAGCTCAGTCAGGTTGGGGTAGGCTGCAAGTTCAGCTACTGGTCACCCGTAGTACGGGTCCAGTCGTGCGGGTTGACACAGAACAAATGCCGAGGCTGAACAATTTACGTCATACGGCCAAATCGAGACACATGTGGGCCGTGGGGTGTCTGGGAGGGCAGGGCCTAACATGAAGAAGATATGATAAGCGAGCACTGCTCGTCGAGCAGAGAAGGCACATAATAGCTTGCAGAATCCAGAGACTCGCCCCCATGGGCCGCCCACTGTCCCCGTGGGGAGGAGAGAGTGTGGGAGGATGGCGGGCAGAGTGGGTGCCACGTCCACTAATGACACTCACACTGACGGCCAAGGCAAACACTGACCGCAGAGTGGAGAGGGCCCCGGAGAGAGTGGAGAGGGCTCTGGGGAGTGGGAGAGGGGCGGCTATCGTCGACCCGGCATGAGAGGCTGAGGACCCCAGGTCGGAGATACCCGAACTGCCAGGCAGCTTGCCAGTTGCATGGAAGAGGGGAAAATTAGGAGTGAGGCGCGTGTTTTTTAGTTCAAAATGAGGTCGCAAATGGCTTAAATGGATTGCACAATGCTCGTGTCAGCTTGGACGTCTTGCGATGTCCACTCGCATCTTCCATGCAATTGCACGTTGCACAGCCCACCACTTGCAGAATCAACGGCAGTGCAGAGAGCTCGTTCCAACAGTCCGGGCCAGATCACGACACCCGGCGCTATCCCTGGCCCATCAAAGCACAACAATACACCACACAGTTTACTGAGCACACCATTCCCAGCAAAAAACCTGCCATCGACCCGCCGCTGCCACAGCTATGTCGTTCCGAGCCAACATCCCAGTCGCACCGTTCACACTCACAGTGCTCATACCCCATACCACACTCACCCTCACTCCCTCCCCGGCGCGTGACTCCGTTCAGTGACGCACCTGCGCACCTATTCCCCCCCCCCCCCCCCCGGTGTGACCTTGACTGCGGCGGGCCCCGCCCCGCGCGGGGAACCCCCGGTCTGTACCGGCCGACGGACGGACGGCTCTGCCTATGTTGACAGGGCTGACAGTGTCGGACTGAGCTCTGACCGCGGAGCAGTCCGTCCGGTAACAGAGAACTGGTGCTCGGTGGGACTGTGGATCGTACGACTCGCCAGGCTAACTAGGTGGCCTGACGCCGACTCGGAGTCAGCCTAAAAATGTGCCAACAGATAGTAGCTGCATGATCCTTCCCAGCATTGTCACATGTCAGCATGATCAAAAGTGGCCATTCTGCAGATAACAAAACTGTTTACGAATAGTTAGTGCTAATTTCAGAGAACACACTCAGCAACACAAGTTTGAACCTTTTCGATGACTATCTCATTCGAGCAGTTTTGACGGCACGACTCGTTCATTTTTCGCCGGCGAGGAGCAGGTTTTCGGCCGTCTGAGTTCAGCGTGCCGGGCCGGTGGAGCCGCGTGGTGCGGCCACGGTCGGCTGACGGCCCTGGCGCCTGCAGTGTGGAGCCCCCCCCCCCCCCGTGGAGCTGGTGGGTCCATCAGCTGCCGACCGGCCTGTCCGCGGACGATACCCAGCCACGCCCCGCTGGAGCACCCCCTCCCCTCACCACACGGCAGCACTGCACAGAGAGCCCGGCTGCAGCCCATCCCAGCCCCGCTGGACGCCGCCATCGCCACCGTGTCCCGTCCCATCAGCACAACAGGGTCGTGGCCTGTGCCGCAGTCACAATGCCCCGCTCGGCCTCACAGAGCTCCATTCCATCAGCCGGCCGCCCTGGTGACTCTATCTGACCTGCGATTACTCTAGCATCTAGCATCCTTTAGTGGCACGGTGCCCACAGACATCAGATTTCCCCCAGACGATGAGGGCAGGCAGGCTCAGCCCAGAGCGTGGGCCCCGGACCATGAATAGCACCGGGACTCGAGTTCCATTTACCGTGCCCTTGTGGCCGCGGTCATGGTTAAATGAATACGGGATAGGTCACCGTCCCAGCCAGAAGGTCAAATGCCACGTCAGTGTCACTCCAAAGGTAAATATCACATATCAGAACCCAAACAACGAAGACCTATGCCACAAAAGTCACCAATGACATTTACGTTGGTTGTTATCATGCATCTCCGGCATAGGTTAGGATGCAAAATTATTGCATTATTGTCTTACCTTATTCTGGTCGACGATGTAGAGGTAGAACCCATTGGGGTCTACCTTCAGGGTCACCGGCACACCGGTGGCCGAGTCCTGTAACACGGAGAACAGCGGCGTCAGACACGTGACGAAAGGGCAGTGCACCACCGAGACGGCGGCGGACGGCGGGCGGGGAAAATATCAATGAGACGGTTAATATAACGCTGAATGCTGAGTGAAATATCAAGATGGATGAAAACAAAAAATGGAGGGAAATGTGTAAAATACTAAATGAAATCAAGGAATAGAAAATAACAAATGAAAAAGCAGATTGGCATAAGATGAGCGTGGGCCTAAAAAGAGAGCAAAAATCGCAGGTCAAACAAAAGAGTTGCACAAAACTTGGTGCTAGCTCTTGGAAAAAAAAATGAAGAGTGCCCATTTACAGGAGCCGCGGCTGATCGCCCCAGCCCACACCTTCGGCGGAGCGGGACTCGGGACCGTGAGCTCCCCATCCTCGGGTCACCAGGTCGCACAGGTGTTCCGTGACACGGGCTCGAACATGAACACCTGTCACCGTGACACGATACCAGCATCCGGCAAGTGAGATGCGAGAGGTGAAGTTGCAAATCACATTCTATGCCCGTCCGCATCAGCTGGTTGTCGAGTGGTCGCGCTCCGGGTCGAGAGGTCATCCCACAACCGCCATGAACCCGTTCCCGGGGATCCCCGGCCCATCTATTGCCTATAGCCGTCAAACACCCGCCATCGCCGTCGGCACACACGGGAAAAGCCCGAGACGTGCGCGCCATAGGCGGCGGAACGGGGAGGGCACCGGGGCACCGTGCCCCCTTTGATTTTGGCATTTTAAAGGAAATAGTTCACTTTCACGAAATTATTTTTTTTTTGCAACGGATTTATGATTTTTTATGTTCAAAATAATCAGCAAAGAAAATAAAACCTTTTTATAACAAAAGATTATTTTCTATATTTTGATATAGGAAGAACTTTTCAGTTTCTGTAAGGCACACGCGATCCAGTATGAAAAGAGCATGGGTCCCGAAAATTCTTCAGAAACAGAAATTATCGCAGCCACCGGCATTTGGGCGATCTGCTCGATCTGATAATGTTCCCCTGAATGTCCTAATTGATCAGTACGAGAATTTCTCTAGAGTTCTCGTAGATAATTTCTCTACTTTCTGAAGAATTTTCGGGACCCATGCTCTTTTCATACTGGATGGAAATATATGCAAGGCACACATCCTCAACGCAAGACACCTTTTTCGGGACGAGAAATAGAATATCTTTGCCTAGGGTGATCGTTGGGCTGTAAAAGCTCCTGATTTATGCTCGTCTCAGCCCAAGCTACGGAACTGCTATTCCAGTTCAAAACCCATGTTAAAAAGTGAACTATTTCCTTTAACATTAGCCCTATGGGCGTTGCATGGAAAGAATGGGACCAAAAGTCGGCGGTGCCCCCCCCCCCCTTAATTGAAGGTGTTCCGCCGCTACTGGTGCGCGCCATTGCATTGGAGAGCATCCCACACACGGCTGTACCATCGATTATCCGCGGCCAATCAATCACTGGATGAGATGGCTGCCGGCGGGGGTAGAAAGGCGTTTTTCCCTTAGAGAAGACGTCGCAAAACAAATATATCAGAGGAATGCTGGCGTGAAACAGTGCACTTCGAGGACGGATGACGGGAGACATGTCCAGTGCCCACTATCTACATGTCCAGATACATAAAACGTGAGAAAGGACAAACGGACGGACGGACGGATGCTCTGCCCCGCGGTAACATACGTCTCGCCCCGGTCCACGGTACTGAGGTACTCGGCCGTCGTCAGGTCATCGCTGTGGGACACGAGCCGGGGGCCGCCCATCCCAGCGGCATCAGCCGGCCTGCGACCGGCCGGCGCCCCGTCACGTCTTCGTCTCGCACCGGTCACGCGTCTGACCGTGGAGTGGGAAGTGAGACACTGACACTCGGCTCTAGACGATGACAGCAGCCAGGGTATAGGGTTCGACGACGGGGTAGCCCCGTCGCGGCGAGTGGAGAATCCACCGCCAGCGGCTCCCACCTGCTGCCACAAGCACGGTTCTTCCCTTCCTGGCGATAACGACATGACGGCATGGTAACCACCTGGCCAGTGTCAGAGTATTAAATCCCTAGCTCACAGCGACACCACCGTGGAATCACCCAGGACTTGACGCCGGAGTTCTCAGATCAAATCTGGAGTGAGATTGCAACCATCAGTGACTCTCTTGTACGACATCGCCTGAGCTGTTCCCCAGGGGCCAGCTATACGAGCCTCACATTGAGTCAAGCGCATCTCACTCTGCTGTGGCGAGACTAGCTCCAGTTTATCCAGAGAGCGGCGGAATCCAAAGATCCGCCGCCAACACTCACAGAGCCAGCTCAGAATCCGACAGATTATGTAAACGACGCCGTTCAGAGCGGTGACGGTGCGTCCCACCGGACGGGCCGAGCGTACCGCACGTTCCTGTCGTGTTGATACCATTCAGAGCGCCCTGCAGGTAAGGTGCACTCACAATGGGTGAGGTGCTGTGATGTCTAGGTGGCGAGCGTTGCACTCAGACGTAACAGCAGTAACGACAAGAAACGATGCATATTGTAAATGGCACACTTCGGATGATCCGGTTCAAAATTATGATGCTTACTTTCGTGTGGTAACCGCAAAACACCCATAAGGTGGGCATTATGTACGATCGTAAATTACGTAAGAATCACTTGATGCACAGTGCTAAGATGTCTGTGGGCTGTTCTCACGTGTATCAGTTTACATTTGGTCCGTTGCGCTTTTGTTTTGAAACTAGAGCGACATGTGAATCAAAACAGCCGTCTTCTTTTCCGCTTAGTTACATCCCTACGGCTTCCACTAACTACAGAAGCTCGACCTCAGACATTGTTGGCAATTTGCCTGGACCACTATTTACCCAGCATTTTTGCACACAAACAAGCACTTCCGTCCGAAGTAAAACACCCAGTGTACCGAGCCGGCAAATTTTTCCCACAGATCACGGCGAAACGGCCGACCTTGATCGGCCGCCTGGCGAAGATCGACCGCCCAGGAGCTTCCGCCACACTGTAACTTCAACGGAACCCGGCTCGGAATATGGGACGCCGGCGTGTCGTGTGGACTTTTCATCGCGATGCCATGCTTCATTCAAGCGGCAATGTCGCGAGCGTCAGTGCGGTCCGTTCGCACCGCCATTACTGGCAATGCCAACCGGTTTTCATGTAAATGTGGAGTCCGCAACACATTTTTGCTTTGATTTGTCAGCAGGGATGCGGAGCCGTGGAAATTTCAGACGGCTCCGGCTCCGGCTCCGGCTCCGGAGAAAAAAATCGGCTCCGGCTCCGGCTCCGGCTCCGGGTGAAATGTTATGGCGGCTCCGGCTCCGGCTCCGGCTCCGAGTAAAATGGTCCGGCTCCGGCGGCTCCGGCTCCGGCGGCTCCGGCTCCGACTCAGTACATCCCCTACGCAATCAATTAAATACGGGTGGAAGAAAAATTGGATTGGTTATACGCGTTACTCTTTGCCATGACCGGCTCACCGCGTCCCCGCGCAAACGCACCTCGGAGAGAACTGGCAGAACAAAGGGCTAGGAAGCGATGGCATTGGAAACGCAGTCGCCGCGAATCGGAGTTCAGTGAACCATCGTAAGCTGACACCCGTCTCGGCTGCATTGGGGGGTGAGGGGTGGGGGGTGTGTGGGATGAGACGGTGCTGGGTAGAGGTGGCAAAATGTGGACCCGAGGACCCGGTCCAAAGAACCAGTCTGGACCCATATGGGTCCAGACCGGTTCCTGGAAATTTTATGACGGGTCCAACCGGGTCCTACCATAAACTATACTACATCTTGCACAATGCACACTACACATTATTGCAAAATATGAAGTGAATTAAGTGAATGTTTCTTTGCACACAGTAGCTCACGAATATTCCCAGTGGGAAATAGGCTGTTTTATATGATCCAACTGATGATACCTACAAGTAGTTTGCATGGGGAACGGGTCCAACTGGTTCCGATTCCAACTAAGACCGGGTCCGACTGGTTCCAGAAATGTCCAGTCGGGTCTGGTTCGAGTCTGGTTCCCAAAATTTTCATCTTTTGCCACCTCTAGTGCTGGGAGTCGCAGTCCACTGCACTGGTTTGAAAACAATGGCCGTCACCTGATGACTGGTCCTCATGTTCTGGGGATGCAGTAGACGTGGGGGGGGGAGAGCAAACAGGAAGTTGTTTGCGTACTGTGGGATACTGGGGATATTCGGATTTTTTCATTCATTTGATGGCCCATGACGTAAGTACCATATGTTTTGCCTTGTACTGTCAAACCGAACTAGGTCAATTATTTTTTTTCCTCTTCAAAAAATAAAAAGGAGCCGGAGTCGCCCCCTTTTTTGGCGGCTCCGGCTCCGGCTCCGGCTCCGGGCTATATTGTTTCACGGCTCCGGCTCCGGCTCCGGCTCCGGGCAAAATATGCCGGCTCCGGCGGCTCCGGCTCCGACTCCGGCTCCGGCTCCGCATCCCTGGATTTGTGCGATCATTAACCGGTTTTTGCGCATGCCTGTTCTAGTTCAAATTATCAGTGGAGCGAAAAAGCACACGTACCGCTGTGTAAGTACGTCAGCAAGGAGCTGAAACTTTACAAAACAGATGAAATAACTAGGATGAGTGAAATAAAAACGATCCCATCCAATCGTGCTGAAACACCTCCCAGATCACAGCGCCGAACTTATGATGACCCGGCCGGGGGCGAGAGGCTGAACGTCCCGTCCGAACACACTGGGGTTATTGCCCCAGATAACGAGCTATTTAGTTCGCAGTAAGCGGCGGCGGCCGATAGCAAACCTTAATCAGCACGCGAGGCATTCATCGGGCTCAAACAGCCGGTGCAAATAGCCCGGTTTTTCCACTTGTCGACATTAGGTTTGGTGTAGGCGTTATCTTTATACGATGGTAAGCCATCATCCCAATCGAGACGTGTCACATTCTTAGACATTCTTAGACGCACCGGCCTGCCAGCCGGGAACGGGGGAATGAACCGTATTTCTACTCGTACCGATGTTCGTACTCGTACCACCTC